GTATCACAAGAATGCGAGAATTAAGACCACATGTACTTGCGTGACCCGACCATCTAAATTGGCACTAACTGATGCAACACTAAGGTGCTTACACAGTAGTAATATTTTTGGGGTTGGGAACGTTCAGGTAGATAAACTCACAACTAATGGACCGTATTGCCATTAATATCCTGAAAACTTAAAAAAAGGATATTTCTGGAATTATCTAACGTTTGCAAATATGATCTGACATCTGGAAGTAAGAAATCATCTGAAAGCGAGTATCAACAAAACCATGATGCTAGAAGAGGAATATTGTAAAGAGACAATATGATCCTGTGCTTGCCTCATTCTGTAGGCTGCCATCCTGCACATCTAGCTGGCCTACTTGGACATTTCTACTTAGATCGCCTACCAGCAGCCTGTCAAATCTAATACTCCTGAAGTGGAATTTTATTCCTCCTCCTTAGAGAATAATCCAGTACTTACCTTTGCCTGCAGTTTTCTTCATTATTTATTTAATAAATGTTTTATTGAGCACTCATATTTGCTTAGAAATTAGAGATACAAAGATCAATACAATAGCATTTTGCAGAGTTCACTAATCTATTCATTGAATATAGCACGGAACAATTAAATTATATATGGCATGTCACGCTGTACTGAAAGATGTTAAACGAAGTGCTACTCAACCAAGAAACAGCAGGCCATTTTACTCAGTGGGGCTTCCCAGTTGAGATGACATTTTAAGTCTGGCCCTGTGATCTAGAACCACCAGGAATTGTCCAAGCAGAGAAAGGAGGAAAGAAAGTCATTCTAAGATAGAGAGTAGTCCATGATAAAATGTTTGAGAAGTTTATGGAGAAGATCCCCAAAGAGCATATAGTCTTGCGACAATTGATGTGTATGGGGTCCCCTGGCAGAGCGTGGTAGAAGATGAAGATGCACAGTAGATTAGACTTAAGATTAACTGGCAAATAAAATGGCATTGATACCAGCAGTAACTATTCCTATAGAAAATAAAAATTAACCTCTTAATGTTCCTTGTTCAAAATGTCCAGCTAAGGTGGAAGCCTAAGGCCATTGCAAGGCATCTGATTCTGAGTTTCTCTTTATCTGAAAGGACTTGCTCTCATATTTTTAGCAGATTAAAGAAAAAGATTTAGTTGGAAAGACACAAGCCAAGAAATAACATAATTTGAAATCAGTCAGATGGCAGCTGTATTATTAGTTTTGCTATTGCATCGTGTATGAACCAAATTACCTACAAATCTACGGTGGGCTTGAAACGGAGTCATAGTGTCTTATAGGTCAGCAGAGTCTGGGTGGGCCTGGAGTTGGAATCTCTTCTACAGTGCGTAGCAAGGCCTGAAATCAATGCGGTGTTAGTCAGGGACTGCATTCTCAATCAGGAGAATCTGTATCGAAAAATTTGCTTCCAAGCTCAATTCGATCATTTAGCAGGACTCCATTTTCTTTGTTGAGTTGAAGGACTGGAGGATCCACATTCTTTGCTGGATCTGCTTGGTAGAGGTGCCTCGCTCTAGAGGACTCTTTCAGGTCTTTCTATTGTGGTCCCCTTACATCTTCAAACCTATGAACCCAAATCAATCCTTCTCATCGTTTACCAGCTGGAGAAAAACTCTTTTGCTTTTAAAACGGTCTCATGTGAGTAAGTTAGGCCCCCAGGATAATCTTCCCCATTTAAAGTCAACTGATTGAGTAGCCCTTAAATTAGCATCTTGGAAATTTTTATTTTGCCATCTGTTACCTAGCAAAAAATCAGGCAAGTAATACGCAGAAACTGAAGGATCCAAGGGGACCATTTTAGAATTCTTCCTACTACACTAGTTGACTATAGCTATTGACAGACACTTGTATTATTTATTTTACCAGGCCTGAACAACCTGGGGGTTAAAACAGGACTCCCAGGTAGAGTGTGTTATATAGTCCTGTCTCTACCTACTTTGTGAAACTATGACCTTCTCAAATTCCTACTAACTCTGAGATTCCTTAGGGAGAGTTTGTTATTTGAGCTCCCAAGGGTACCCTCAGTATCTTTTCCCTCTCTCCTTCTCTGGCTGTTTCATTGTCAGCTTGCATAAATCAATCAACAAAAATGTACTGAGCTGGGTACAGTCCTAGTTGTAGTTAAAGTAGAGTTCCTACCTTCCAAGGAGCTTACATTCTCAAGAAATACATGTAAAGTAAGATAATTACAAATACTTATAAAATTATAAAGATCAACAAAAATACTGGGAACCGAATCTAGCACATATTAAAAAATTATATACCATCACCAAGTGGAATTTATTCCTGGAATGCATGAATGGTTTGACAATTGAAAGTAATTAATTATAACACACATTATATAATGAAAAAAATACTACATGATCACCTTGATTCACGCAGGACAGCAATGGACAATATTCAATATCACTTTCATAATTAAAGACACTTAATAAACTGGGAATAAAATGAAACTTAATATGACAACAGGTCATATCAAAACCATAGCTAACATCTGTTGTTCAATGGCTTAAGACAAAAAGCCTTTTCTTTATGGTCAGGAACAAGACAGGGTGCCTGCTTAGGCCCACATCTATTGAAATATAATATAGGCTTTAATTTAAGATCTTTAAGATGGAGAAATCCCTTCAATGATTAAGAGAGACACAAATGGAAGTAAAGATTTTATCACTTACAGGTCTTGAGGGGTATATAGCATTCCTGGAGGCCAAATATGCAGAGGTCAGGGAGTATAGGCAAGGGCAGAGAAGGGGCCTTGGGCCAATGCCTCTATTGGGTCCAGGCCATTATCCAAACAGGGCCATTATCCAAACAGGTTTCCCTTGAGGAGTTTGTGGTTTTTTTTGGAGACAGAGTCTCACTTTTTGCCCAGGCTAGAGTGAGTGCCGTGGTGTCCAGCCTAGCTCACAGCAACCTCAACTCCTGGGCTCAGGCAATCCTCCTGCCTCAGACCTCCCGGGTAGCTGGGACTACAGGCATGGTGCCACCATGCCAGCTAATTTTTATATCCATATATATATATATCATATATATACTATAATATCATATATATTAGTTGGCCAATTTATTTCTTTCTATTTATAGTAGAGACGGGGTCTCAGTCTTGCTCAGGCTGATCTCGAACTCCTGAGCTCAAATGATCTACCCATCTCAGCCTCCCAGAGTGCTAGGATTACAGGTGTGAGACACCGCACCAGGGTTTGAGGAGTTTTAATTGGTGGGTTTACAGCAAACAAGGAAGAGTTCTAGGAGGTCATGCAACATAAAATTATAAGAATTTATTACAACATAGTTTTGGAAGTTTTAGCTAGAGTAATTAGTTAAGAAAAGAAAGAAAAGTCATCCAAACTTGGAAAAGAAGAAATAAAATTATCTCTGTTTGCAGAAGGCATGATCTTTTTCCTTAATCTTTAAGGAAAGATTTTCCTTAATCTTTATTACTGCTCCTTCTCTCTATAGTTCAGGCAACTGAGAAAGAGGACTGTATATAACAGACAGCATGTGTTATTCAAAATCTTTCTTTTTACTTCAGCTACTGGTCCTCTGTCCTTCACACATGATATACATCCACCTTCACTTCTCTTAGAATGAGTTATTTTCCAGAAGATTCTTGACACTTTATGCAGAAACCACCTGTAAATAAGACTCTGCTTCCATTTTTGATAGTTGACTGCTGACAGCTTTCAAGCCACCCCCTCATCCCCTTCTGTACCACATGTGGACAAGCTGGCAAGTAAGCTTGAGTACTCCCTCCCTTGGCATCCTAGCAGGGTGGGGATGTGGGGGTGGTTCAAATCACATAATCCCTACCTTCCATGTGGAACCCTCACCCAATCCCACCCCCTAATTACCATAAAACCCCTAGCTAAAACCACTCCCTTTTCTATCTCAAGACATTTTCAGACCAGTTTGGGAGCCTATCATGCTTTCCATATAAAGTCTTACTGTGTAGATAATAAATCTTTTCTTACTTTCTTGGTGTATGTGTCCTCAGTCTTGACATCGAAACCACATTTTGGGTGGTTTGGAGGCATCTATCCTGTTTCTGTGGAGTGACCATCCCACCATCCCAGTCTGAGCCCACAGCTCATGATTTCAACTGGAAATCTTCAGGCACAGGTATTAGGAATCAAATTGTTTCCCTATAGAAATTCTGGCTCTACTACGAAAGCACACTGACAAATTAAAATCATACCTCCTTGCTGGATTGGAACAAGACATACTGTTAAAGCATGCATAATTACTTTGCTTCCCGTTCTTTCATTCTGTGTTCTATCAGTGCTGGAAAGCACTGGCAGTTGCTAAAGGTTTAAGAAATATGGCAGAGCAAGTTAAATGTTGAGAAAAAAAATCAACTAACATTTCCATCTGTAAACTGTGATTGTTCAATTTTAGTAGCAGTATACCTCTTTCCAGCTAAGGTATAGCATTGTTCCCAAAATAGTTCGATACAATAAGTAAAAGGGCAGCGAATTTTCTCTCTCTCTGGATTTGTCACTGTGAAGATGGTGTGGGGAGGGGAGGGAAAGCAGGACCAACATGAATGACTCACAATGGGATGTATTCTAGATCCTGTCTTGAACACATCCTTTGCCCATCCTCAGTGGGCATAGGGCTTTCAGTGCTCAGGCTGTAGATGAACCTACCCCTGAACAGAGGCAAGGGGATTCCTCTTGATCTTGGATTTTGAGATATGTAGTTCTGAGGAGAATACTACAGGGCCAAGGGAACCATTTCTTCTGAGGAAGCAATGGCCCCAGCACTGCCCCAAAAGATCAGGAACCAATGGGTAGGTCTATTGGTAAAAAGAAAGTATTTGCAGGGACCTCTTCTTGTTTGGTCCTTTATTTTCTTCACTTTATCTCTTGGCAGAGTCCCAGTGAGAAACTGATGGCAAGCCAGGCATGGTGGCATGCTCCTGTAATCCCAGATACTCAGGAAACTGAGGCAGGAGGATCACTTGAGCCTAGGAGTTCAAGCCTGCAGTGAGCCATGACCACACCACTGCATTCCAGCCGGGGTGAGACCCTGTCTCTAAAAACAAACAATCAAAGAAGAAAATGATGACACACTAATTGAAGAAAGTATAACCAAAGGCCAGTGGAATACCAGCATCTAGCAACTGCAGAAAAACATTACCACCCAAGCCTGAAAGAGCAAGAGCAAATGAAGAGTATATTAGTTTCCTATGGCTGTTGTAACAGATTACCATAAACTTGGTAAGTTACAACAGAGATTTATTCTCATAGTTCTGGAGTCCAGAAGTCTGAAATCAGTTTCACGTTGCCAAAATCAAAGTGTTGGTGAGCTCCAGAAGGAGAAACCATTCCTTGCCTTTTCCAGCTTGTTGGTTGCCAGCATTCCTTGGCTTGTGGCTACAATACTTCACTCTCTGCCTTCAGTGCCTCCTCCTCTTCTGTGTCTGTCATCAACTCTTCCTCTACCTTCCTCTTATATGAATATATATGCTTATATTTAGGGTTCACCCTGAAATCAGGAAAATCCCCTTATCTGAAGATCCTTAACTTAATCATATCTCCAAAGATCTTTTTTGACAAAAAAGATGATATTCATAGGTTCCAGGGATTAGTGTAACCAAACCCAGTGTGGGAATAATACTCTAACCTGTCTCTTCTCCCACCCTTTGCAGTTAAAGAAGAACATGCTACCCCAAAATATGCTACTCTGGCATATTAATATTTTGACTTAAATGTACTTGAAAAGCAGCAGTGCAAGAAGATCACTCTGACCTTCTAAAAGCAGGAGATGAAATTCCCATGTGAAAGATGTCCTCCCTAAACCAGAAGGAAAATTTCATTCTTCTCATCAAAGATGAGAAGTTGAGGCCAAGGGAAATCTGTACAAACAAACCTTGTTAAACTAATCTTTATCTTCCTAGTCACTTTTTCACCCAATTTGTCAGATTTTCACAAGTTACTACTCTTTGTCCAACTCAGTATATAAATGTTCAACTCTAACTGCTCCTTTGAATCTTCATCTCCTTATGAAGGCTCTTCTGCCACAAAACACTTGTATTAAATAAGTTTGTATGTTTTTTCCTTTGATTTGTCTTATGCCAATTTAATTCTCAGGCCCAGCCAAAAAACAAACGAAAAGAAAACACCTTAAAAGGGTAGAGGTAAAAGTTTACTTCCCTACAGAGTCCATAGAGATCAGCCTTTTGGTGGGGTTCAGAGAGTAAAAGAATGCACATGAAGGGGCAAAACCAAAAGAGAACCAGTGCACAGCTGTAGCATTTGGTTTCTGCAAATGTCTCTTGAATCAGTAAGGTTTTAGGAAAGAGTGTCTTCTACTAATCAGTGCAGTTTGAGTCATATGGGAGCAGATACAGAGATTCAGTGCACGTGTTTTATGTCCGAGATTGAGCCATACACTGACCCTGGATGCTATGTCCTTGGTCCATCCTTGAGTCCTAAAAGGAAGTGAACCTTGACCTTTGTAGAGAAGAAAGGGAGATTCCAATAAACAGAGAGATGGTGATTTTTTTTTGCATGGGAATCCCAGGAGTGTCTGAGTAAGATCAGTTATTTCTCAGGATTTATCCTTTTCCAGAAAAGATCATAGAGGAGGTAGAAATGACTGCTTTGTTACACACAGACTAGAAACAACAGAAGACTGGAAAAGTAGGCTTTCATGCTAGGGCTTGGGTTATATTGCTTATAGAGCAGGGCCATGATCAGATGTTGTTTGGAAAGAGAACTCTGACAGCAATGTGAAAAGTAAAAAAATGAAGATCTGAAGCAGAGGCCAGTTTAGAAAGCTTTGGCGGCCAGGCGCGCTGGCTCACGCCTGTAATCCTAGCACTCTGGGAGGCTGAGGTGGGTAGATTGCTCAAGGTCAGGAGTTTGAAATCAGCCTGACCAGGAGTGAGACCCTGTCTCTACTGAAAATAGAAAGAGATTGTAGACTTACCCTGTGCTCGAAAAAGGAAGAAAAAAAAAAAAAAGAGATTGATTGGCTAACTAAAAATATATAGAAAAATTAGCCAGTCATGGTGGCACATTCCTGTAGTCCCAGCTACTCGTGAGGCTGAGTCGGGAGGATCACCTAAGCCCAGGAGTTTGAGGTTGCTGTGAGCTAGGCTGATGCCATGGCACTCTAGCCTGGGCAACAGAGTGAGACTCTGTCTCAAAAAAAACCAAAAACAAACAAACAAACAAACAAACAAAAAAGAAAGCTTTGGCAAAGTTGTAGCTGAGAGCTCAGATGTGAACTAAGCTAGTGACAGCAGCAAAGGAGAGAAAGAGACATTTCAGAGGTGGAATCAGTGGGACTTGATGACCAATTAAATATGTTAATAAGAAAAAGAGAAGAGTTGTAGATAACATCAGATTTTGAATTAAGATGATGGTATAGATGGTGAAAGCATTACCCTATTGGCATTTGGGTAGGACAGTTCCTGCTGTGCCAGACTGCAGCAGACACTTTAGGATGTTTATTGCCACTGACTTCTGCCCTCGAAATTCAAGTAGCATTCCCAAGTCAACATGATCACCAAAATGCCCTCTCTGGGCTTACACATACCACCCAGCATGGTAGCCAGTAGAAAAAGTTGGGTTGAAGATGATGAGTTCCTTCTTAGACACATTTGCGGAAGTATATGGATCTAGAGACATCTAGGAAGTAACTGGAAATGTGAGTCTTGAGCTCATGGGGAAGGCTCTGTGCAGAAATGCAGACCTAGTACACAGAAGGAATGGTTTAAGCTGCAGCAGAGAGACTAGAGAGCCAGAGAAAAGATGCTAAAGACAGAACTATGGAGAATGTCTATATTCAAGAAACACACAGAAGAGTCAAAGAAAAAGAGGTAAGTCAGAGAATTAGGGGGGTAAAGCTCTCAGAAGCTAGGTGAGAAAATTCTAAGGAAGGATTGGTGTGTGTTGTAGCATTCTACTGAGTTAGGATGTGTATGAGGAAGATCAGATTTAGCAATTAGGGTTAGTGGAGTCCTCAAAAAATTTAAGGTTTTGAATAGGTATAAATAATTACATGGTTCAAAAATCACAAGAGTATTTTAAAAAACACAATGAGAAACCTGTCACTCCTACTCCAGTCCTCTATCTATTTAGAACCCCCAAGTAACTAACTATTCTGTGTATCTATCTAGAGCTTAGATGCAGATATAAGTGAATATAAAAACATATTATTGTTTTCAATCCCTTTTTTTTTTTTTTTTTGAGACAGAGTCTCACTTTCTTGCCTAGGCTAGAGTGAGTGCCGTGGTGTCAGCCTAGCTCACAGCAACCTCAAACTCCTGGGCTCAAGCGATCCTCCTGCCTCAGCCTCCCGAGTAGCTGGGACTACAGGCATGCGCCACCATGCCTGGCTAATTTTTTCTATATATATTAGTTGGCCAATTAATTTCTTTCTATTTTTAGTAGAGACGGGGTCTTGCTCTTGCTCAGGATGGTTTCGAACTCCTGACCTCGAGCAATCCGCCCACCTCGGCCTCCCAGAGTGCTAGGATTACAGGCGTGAGCCACCGCGCCCGGCCTCAATCCCTGTTTTTACACACAGAGCATTATATACCTGGCTATTTTTCCACTAAAAAATACATCCTGGAAATCTTTCCATATAGACAGTGTCTTCATTCTTTTTCACAGCTGTGTAAAATTCAAGGATCTATAAGGAAACAGAACCTAGATAGATATGGATTCAAATACACAGAGAAAAGGATTTATTTTAAAGAATTGGCTCACATGATTGTGGGGGCTGGCAAGACGGAAATCCATAGGGCAGGCCAGTAGTTGGAAATTCAGGTTAAGAGTTGATATTACAGTCTTAAGTCCGAAATCCCCAGAGCAGGCCAGCAGGCTAGAAACTCAGGCAAAATTCTATGTTAACATCTTGAGGCACAATTCCCACCTTCTACCTCAGTTTTTGCTCTTATGGCCTTCAACTGATTGGGTGAGGTCCACCCACACTATGGGGGGTAATCAACTTTACTTAAAGTAAACTAATCATAAATATTAATCACAACTACAAAATCCCTTCAAAGAAACACGTAGACTAGTGTTTGATCAGACAACTTGGCATCATAACCTAACCAAGTTGACACATAAAATTAAACATCACAAGCAGCATAGTGTTTCATTGTATGTATGACAATTATTTAGCCAATCTCATAATGGAGGAAATTTAGGTTATTTGGGTTATTCTCAATCTTTTCCTATTATAAACCATTCAATGAATAACCTTGTATACACACCATTTTAAATATGTTAGGATATATGAGTAAATCCCCAGAAGTAAAACTGTTAGGTCTCAGGATATATAGATTTGTAAGTTTGTCAGATATTGCCTTCACAGGATTTCTTCCTCTACCAGCAACATATAAGACTGACTCTTCACAGCCTTGGCAAAGACTATGTTGTCACATCTAGGAATTTTTGCCTATCTGATTGGTGAAAATGGTATCAGTGTAGTTTTAATTTTCCTTTCTTCTACAAGTAAATATAGTTGAGTTTCAAGGGGACAGGTCAAATTTAAGGGGCTATGGAATAAGTGGATAGTAAGGGGAAGAATGAGGGAAATAGGTAGTCATCTAAAGAGATTGAAATTTGACTGTATTAGAAGGAGAGAATTTGCTTGCTGACTAATGTAGCATGTGGGTTTAATGAAGATGTTTTTAAATAGTAAAGACTTCACTAGACTTGCTTAAAGTGATAATATAATGAGTCACTAGAAAAGGAGAGATTGAAAATTGAAGAGAGTGTGAGAACAAAGTCATACAAAAGGCAGAAAGAAATGGTATCTCTGGCAAAGTTGGGATGGATAGGAGCTCAGTGGTGGGTGTGAAAAGTATGAAGAACAGAAGTTTGTGGGTGGGGAGCAGATGGCAGGCACCTTTTAAAGGGAGAGGAGGAGGAGAACTTTTGGAACAAGAATTAAAAAGGGAAGAATTAGATTCACCAGTAGGAGGGAAAAAGCACAGGCAGCAGATGCTGCACTACCCACAGGGGTAGGGATTCCTGCCTGCTAGATCCTAGGGTTTCAGATAAAAAGCAGAATCTTTGCTGGATGATTCATCCACATGGACACTGATTGATCAATAAATATTTACTGAGCATCTACTCTGTCAGGCACATTGATGTGACTTAGAATGAACTGAGACATGAAACAGAGTAGAAGGCTACAAGCTAGATGCTAAAGTCATGTATGTATGAGAGATTAGGAGGCAAATAGGTGATGGTGACAAGGGGTGTAACAGCCAGATGGGTTTGCTCCTCAATACACCTTGTGCCTTAAAAGAGACATGGTTTCAGAAAACTGTAGTAGAAATATGCCAGTGTTTGAAATTGGCAGAGTTAACCTATGTGATACCACCATCGGGTCTTTGGACTCAGGAGAATAAGAACCCTTATCTTAATAAGAAAGCAGCATCTGAGAAGAGTGGGATCTGGGAGACAGCATGGAAGTAGAAGGCATGTTCTGGGAAAAGTTGGAGGTTTCAGAGACACTATGGAAAACTACGAAGAGGATGTGTCCCAGGGGAAAGAATCACTGAGCATATGAAGATGACAGTGGAGGTGAAAATTGTTCACTTGGGCAATAGTCAATTATAACTTGAACATGAGGCAGGAAAGAATTAGCTGGCCTCACTGTTCCAAGAGAATGCTAGCATACATTTTTCAAAAAGTTTACTGCAGAAAATTTCAAATAGACACAAAATAGAATAGTTCAGTGAACTCCTGTGGATCCTTCACCAGCTTCAATAATGATCAATTCTTTGCCAATCTTGCTCAGCAATCACTGCAGCTACTCCCACTGTTATTCATTTCTGGAGTACTTTAACGCAAGTTCCAGACATCTTATCATTTGACTTGTTAGCATGTATCTCTTAACCAAAAGGATTTTTCTTCATTTTAAACATAATCATAATCACACTATCACAAATAATAAAATTAACAATAATTTTATAAAGTTGGTTCGACCATAGCAGACTCAAGCATTTGCTAGGGAGTCCAAATAAAAACACTGGTGTTTAGGAAGCCTGCAAAGAAATGTTGATAGCGGACACAAGATTAGTTCCTGTATGATGATATTCAAAAATTATTTTGTAAACAGATACTAATTAACATGGAGAAAAGTTTAAGATGAATGTATAAACATTTTAAGTATAAGCTATAACATTTTTGTTATGTATAAACATAATACACATAATTTATCTAACTCAGTGTATATAATATGTAAACGAAGCTATCTAAAATTTGAAAGGGCAACAGATATGAACAACAGATATGAACAGGTCGGGGAATATCTGAGTGGTGTTTATTTTTTGCTTTCCATCACTTTCTGCTTTTCAGGGTGTGTTGCAGAGGGCGCAGATGAGGGGTTAGCAGGGAAAATGTTGGGGGAAGGATTGTGGCTTCTATGATTGGCTGACCTAATATAACGATCCAGAAAACCTTTTTCTAGTGGCTCAGCTTTTTCAATCTCATAGCCAGCCCACGAATTAGAAATGCAGACGAATACATAACAGGCTTGGAAAATACACGTTAAATGAATAAAATCTAAGAAAAAAGGGCGAAAGCGGCACTCATAATTAACAGAAAAAGAAGTGACAGGAAGCGACTGGGGCTGCGCAACCCTTCCAAAACTACGCCCACCGGCATCTGCACAGCACTCGGCGCCCCGCAGCCCGCCCCGCCAGCCGTTAGATTCTTCGGCTGACGTCACACGGCGGTTTTCGGCGAGGGTGGAAAGCAGCCCTAAGACTTCTGGGAAATGGAGTCTGCGCACTGTGACGACTGCGGCTCGGAGGTTTCTGGGATTGTAGTTCCCAGAGCGGGCTGCGTACCCGACCAGCCCCCTCAGTGGCGGGGGAGGAGGGGCGTGTGGTTGCTTGAGCCTCCTTCCGAGGTCACTGCCGAAGCTTGGGCTTTCTTTCGAGGCCACTTCTGCTTTGGGAGGAGGGATGGGCTCCTGCCTGCTATTAAAGACGATAAGGGACCCAGCCCGTTTTTTGAACCTCATAACGGCAGCGACTGAATCCGAAGGACTGGGTAGAAAGCTTTCTACTCCCAGGTGCGGTACATGAAAGAAAGTCCTGGAATCCAAAAGTTCCTGTCTGGAGCCCTTATTGGACAGTGTGAACGAGGGCAGTCCAGCGTATCGGGTTGGGGGTACTGCAGGGATGGAGGTGGAAACAGTACCGGGTCTTTAGTACTGTATTGTCTCTGGGAGACAGGAATCGACCAGGGAAAACAAACTTGACCTAGAACATTCCAGCCTTAGATTTGGGGAAGAAGCAGGAGAGTCACACTCATGAGGAACATATTCTAAAACTGCTGAGATCGAAACCATTTCTGATTGCTTTACCAAGGAAGATTAGGATTAAGGTAAAACCGCAAAATCCTCCCTAATTATAAAAAATGTGGCGAGTGGTGATTTTTTGTTATTTGTTTCAGAACTTCATAGAATGATATGGATTACAGAAAGAGGTGGTTAAAGGGGAGAAGAAATCAGTCTCTAAAGGGTGAAAAAAACAAGACAGCTCAGAAGAGGATCCATGAAAAGAGAGCAGCAAAAAGGAACACCTCTCTTGCTTTAGGGTAGGAATGTAAGTGAGGGACCTGTAAAGTCACTCCCACATCTGGACATCCAGACCACTTCTCCTTAGGTTCTGCTGTATGTCCCAAAGTGGTCTTTGAATTTCCACAGAAAATGCATTGCTGCCTTGGAACCATTCCTTGCTATCTCTAGAATTAACTAGAAGGGGCAGTGCAATCACCAAACTCCTTTAGGGAGCCCACTTTCCAATAATGTGTCCTGTCTTAAGAGGCATCATACAACAGAAGAATGTGAACCCAGACCCAGACTGCCTGGGTTCAAGCCCTGGCTCTGCCATTTACTTGCTATGTTGCTTTGATTGAATTACTTAACCCTCTGCTTCAGTTCTTCACGTTTATTATAGGGATAATATTATGGATGTCTTTCCTAGGGTTTTGTAAAACCTATTCAATGAGTTAATTCATGTAAAGCTTTAGAACAGTGGCTTATAGATAAACATTCAATATTAGTCCTCACTTTATTGTTATAATCGTTATTACTAAATAAGAGGATCTGAGCATTTTTGCTCTTTAAGCACCTGTATGTTTTAAATTTCTTATCAAAGTGATGATACCATTGTACACTAGCTGGGGCGACAGAGAGAGACTCTGTCTAAATTTCTTATCAAAGGAGTCCTGTGGGATAAGTGGAAATAATGGGAAAACTGAGATTCATACCAACTGACATTTAGTTGTGGAAATAAATGGCATTGCTGGGGCTAGCAGCATCATCTAGTGGATTTTTTTTTTTTTTTTTTTTTTTTACCACTGCCATGTGATGTCTCTGCTAACATTCTTCTAGCTTGTATCTATGAAGCTTTGTCAAGCCTCTTGCAGAGTGACTCTGTACACACCTTAGAATCAGGTGATTGGGGATTCAGGCAGTTACTCAATTCATTAACAAACTGACCATGGGCAGCAGATAAATTTGAGTTCTAAATTGATCTCTGTGTGTTTCAAAACATCTAAGGAGAAAGGTAAACAACATATAGGTGGGCCTTATTTTGGTCCACTCTGACAATCTTTCTCTTTGAATTAGTGCATTCAGACCACTGACTTTCAAAATGATTATTGATATAGTTGGATTAATATCTATCATCTTTGTTAACTGTCTTCTATTTGTTGCCCTTGTTTTTGTCCCTGTTTTTCTCTACCATTCTTTTTCTGTCTGTTGTAGTTTTAATTGAGCATCTTATATGATTATATTAATATTTTCTCTCCTCTGTTAGCATATCAACTGTACTTGGTTTTTTTCCCCCCTTTTTTAGTGGTTACTCTAGGGTTCACCATATACCTTTTCAAGTAATCCAAGTCCATTTTCAAATAACACTATACTCCTTCACAAGTAGTGCAAATACACACACATACATATGCATCCCTAAGCATACATAATTGAATATATTGTTGCTATTATTATTTTGAACAATCTGTTATCTCAATTAAAAATAAGTATTTATTTTACCTTCACTTATCTCTTTCTGATGCTCTTCCTTTCTTTTTGTAGGTCTAAGTTTCTGACCTATATCATTTTTCTTCTCCAAAGAGCTTCTTTTAACATTTCTTGCAAGGCAGTTCTACTGGCATCAAATTCCCTCAATTATTGTTGATCTGATAAAATCTTTATTGCTCCTTCAATTTTGAAAGGCCATTTCATAAAATACAGAATTCTAGGCTAGTGGGTTTTTCCTCTCAACACTTTAAATATTTCACTCTACTCTCTACTTGTCTTCATGGTTTCTGAGGAGAACTTGGATGTAATTCTTATCTTTGCTTCTCTATTAGTAAGTGTTGTATTCCTCTGACAACTTTCAGGAATTTTTCTTTACCTTTGATTTTCTGTAGCTTGAAAATGATATGCCTAGATGTAGGGTTTTTTGTGAAATTTATTCTGCTTGGTGTTTTCTGAGCTTCCTGGATTTGTGGTTTGGTGTCTGATATTAATTTGGAGAACTCTTCAGTAAGTATTGTTTCAGATATTTTTTTCTGTTCCTGTCTTCTTTCTTTTCTGTATTCACATTATATGTATGTTACACCTTTTGGAGTTATCCCACAATTCTTGGATATTGTGTTCTATATTTTTCAGTCTTTGTCTGTTTGCTTCTTAGTTTTAAGTTTCTATTTAGATATCCTAAGGTCAAACATTATTTTCTCATCTGTGTCCAGTCCATTAATAATCCCATCAAAGGCATTCCTCATTTCTGCATGTTTTGATCTCTAGCATTTTTTTTGAGTTTTTTTCTTAGAATTTCCATCTCTCTCCTTAAATTGTCCATTTCTTCTTGAATGCTGTCTACTTTATCCATTAGAGCCCTTAGCTTATTAATCACAGTTGCTCTAAATTCCTGTTTTGGGAATTCCAACATCCCTGCCATATCTGAGTCTGGTTTTGATACTTGCTCTGTCTCTTCGAACTGTGTTTTTTGCCTTTTAGAATGTTTTGTGATTTTTTTCCCTGATAGCTAGCATGATTTACTCACCACTGATTCCTGCAGAGGTTTCAGCTTGTGGGTTTCTTTTCTGGTAAACTGGGATTCTCTATAGCCTTTCAATCTCTCCAATTTTGTGGCCATGTGACTTCACTTCTCTTATAGAATTAAGAAGAGTTGTTGCATTTTTAGTTTTTTTTTAGCTTTTTACTAAGGGCAGAAAGGCTACTTCTAAGCTTCTTATATTTTAGACCAGAAAAACCACCTACTATTCTTCATTGTGTAAGTCTGTCCCATGTACTATAGGTTGTCTAGTTTTCCTGGCCCCTGTCCACTAAATATAAGACCCATTTCCCTCACCATCATTGTGACAAAAAGTCTCCTTCCCTCAAACTTCCAAAACACAACCTCAACAGTGAGTACTGATCCTGCTAAGACCCCTGCTTTATTTGACAATGTTCTTCATACCTTCTTAAAACTCCGATATTCAATAATGCCTGAATTTTGTTGGAAGCTCTGCTTATGTATCTCATACTTACGAAGTCTTTCAGAGGAAATTTATTGCTCTTGTCATTTCTTACTGTAGATCCGAGTTTCTGACCTATATAATTTTCCTTCTCCAAGGAACTTCTTTTAACAGTTCTTACAAGGCAGTTCTACTGGCAACAGTTTTTCTGATTCATTTCCCATGTTTGTGTCTGTTTTATACTTTTTCACTGCACCTTTTCTCCTTATGTCAGAAATAACTCCAGGTGTTACTAAGATTCTTTCACACAGTTCTTCAGAAATCTATCATTGTCCTAGGTTCTTCAGCCCATTCTAGGTTGATGAATCTCATATCTTCATTGCCAGCCTTGGCCTCTCAACCTCCAGAAATGGGATTCCAGTAAAAAATTCAAAAGGGGCATGCTAATGGGAAAACTGAAAGATTGTTGGCAAGTAGGATTGATAGGAAGCAGAAATTATCAATATATTATGAAGAAATAAGGTCTTAGGTTGAGGTGGTAATAGTGAGTACATCCTAAAAGAAAGTCTATAATTGATGTCAAACTATTTCTATCATTTTCTGTTTATTTTTCTGGTAGTTTCTCATGTTTATAGACCTTTATTCTGTTCAAATTTCTCACTTGTCACTTCATTCAATGAATTTTTTTCATTGTTTCTGTACTGCACATTGGATCTATATAAATGCCCTCCACCTTGTTTTTCATCTCAGACTACAAAATCATATTTTACACCTGACCAATTTTTATTCACGTTCAATTTCATTGTTTTATCCACTTTACTTGTACCAAACCTCACATACACACACACACACACACACACACACACTCTCACACTCACTTTTTCCCCTTTAGACTGGGAAACTTGGCCTACAATCAGGAATTCAACTCAAAATCAGGATATTTCTAAAAAGAATCATCCCTAGAAGCATTAGAGAGAAGACACACAACAAATGCCTTGGAACACAAAATTGGGCAAAGTCTGAAAACAAGGGAAGATTAAAGTGACAGTAGACAAACCATAAAACAAATTGAGACAAGTTATAAAAACTCCTAAGGAAATCTTGACTAGTGTGAGAAACTTTTTTAAAAAACATTTGGGTGGAACTTTTTGTCTACCAAATTAGGATTAGATTCAAGGCCTAACACACAGCAATAAATTTCCTCTGAAAGACTTCGTAAGTATGAGATACATAAGCAGAGCTTCCAACAAAATTCAGGCATTATTGAATATCGGAGGATCTCTACATATGATAATTCTTTTAGATTTAAAGGATGTGGTACAAATTTTAATCAGAATTCAGTCTTTTTTTTTTTTGAGACAGTTTTGCTTTGTTGCCCAGGCTAGAGTACAGTGGCGTCAGCCTAGCTCACAGCAACCTCAAATTCCTGGGCTCAAGCGATTCTCCTGCCTTCAGCCTCCTGAGTAGCTGGGACTATAGGTGTGCACCACCACATCTGGCTATTTTTTTCTATTTTTAGTAGAGACGGGATCTCACTCTTGTTCAGTCTAGTCTCAAACCTCAAGTGATCCTCTCACCTTGGCCTCCCAGCAGAATTCAGTCTTTACCAAATATCCAAAAATTCACATTCGGGAGAAACCGTAAATATCATGTATGTGGAAAAACATTTGCATGAAACTTAGTCCTTAGTAAACATCAAAAAAAATTCATATAGGAATGAAATTTTACGTGTGTACTGAATGTGGCAAAGCCTTTGGTTAACAGTCTGTTCTTAGCTGGGCACAGTGGCTCACGCCTGTAATCCTAGCACTCTGGGAGGTTGAAGTGGGAGGATTGCTCGAGGTCAGGAGTCCAAGACCAGCCTGAATGAGAGCAAGACCCCATCTCTACTAAAAATA